TTTCCCTATCTGAGCTTTGCACAGATTATATCCTGCAGTGATTCAACCCACAAACTTAAACAGCCTTGCTGCAGTTTCTCAGCATCCCACGTTTCTCAGAATGCCATTGTTTGCATAATAAAATTCCTCCTTTCTGTTACAGCTCAGTCTGAGTTGGAAACCTGATTCTTACACAGCATGATGTGAGCAATTACTTTTAGGCTGCTTTGTTTTAATTTTTATTCTGGAAGATGCAGGGAGAATATTCATCTCTAAGTAGGACATTTCAATCTGATTTCTATATCCTGAGATATATGTCAATCTGTATCCTACCTGTTCGCTATTATATTTTAAGAACCACCCTGATCCACCTGAACCACATGATCCAGTGTAACTCATATACACAGCACTGGGGCTCTGTAGTTTATTTCTCACCTAGAATTTACCATTGTGCATTACTGAGAAATGCCATCCATCCATGAAGAATGGGAATAAAATAAAGGATGTATCAGTAATCATCTTTCCTAATCTCTTTTTTTTTCCTTTTTATTGAACAGCATTCCTGGTTCTTCTTTGCAGTTATCTTAAAATCAATGGCACAGCACTTGGTTGACGCAAACAAAACAAAGGTAAGTCTGTACGTGATCTCAGGTAAGTAGGCAGTCTGTCTCTTAGGGAAAAGATAAAATGTGGAATCCTGGGAAATACACATACTTGGGCTTTTCTTCTTGGCTGGTCAAAAAAAGAAATCTTGTTATACTTTGTAAAATGTTGGTTTTACCCACAAGAAACGTTATATTACCTGCTAGGCTCAAACCTGTCCTTGCTTGTACAGAACTGCTGGGCCAAAAATACAGTTACATCAGTTCTGTAATGGATGGGTTAGAATGGAATGAGGGTTTCCTGATTTCTGCTGGTTACCCAACAGGTGATTATGCCAGACAGCACAAAAATTACCTAGAAACTCTGCTTTGCTTTAAGCAAGCCCTTCCATAGCTGGAGATCTGGGCTCTGACCTCTTTTCTGCCTGATGATCAGAGATGCCTGTGGTATACTTGTGCTGGAATATGAGGATAATATTTCCCACTTTCCTAAGAACCAAATTCTTCCTTTGGGGGCTTATACTCAGAATAGATCCACAGAGCTCTAGGAATACTCTTCTGCTTTAGGTGACCTGCGTTTTATTGTCTTTATGTGTGGCCTGAATGTATTTTCAGGTTTCATGTGCAACATCATACACTCTCAAGTGATAATCTATTCCCTGCTTAGGTTTCTCGAACGCAGAGGTTTCCAGAATCATTTCAAACTGAGCTGGATACACTTGTGATGGTCTTAGCAGACCATGTTGTTTGGAAGTACAAAGATGCTCTTGAGGAAACCAGGAATGCAAACTACAGCACTGCCAAATTTCTCAAGGTGAGATGTTCTCTCATTACAGCATATGTACTTATTTCCCAGTGCTTAATGCAAGCTTGAGAATCTTCTAGTCAAAGGGAGTAAAACCAGTTCTGGATGGATGATGGCTCAATTCCCAAGTTGAGTGTGACCTGTAGTTCAGTTTTCCTGTGCCCTTGGGTCTTTGAGAGTGCAAAAACTTTATCTGTCTGCTTTAAAGGAATTTTGATTAATTTATGTCTATGGTTTGGGAGAGACCAAATTTTCAGATTGTGCAGATTCTTACATTACATTCAAATGGGTCAAAATTTGATAAGGAATGAGACTGTAGTTATGGTCAAGCAGGTATTTTTTATTTAAATGCTACAGCTCTGAAAAACTGTGAGTGGGTGAGTATTTCCTCATCACAGAGAGGGCAGCTGTTACAAACTGGAGTAAGCACATAGCAAGTATTCTGTGAAACGCTGTAACCTACCTTTTTAACTCTGTAATGCCCTTTCATTCACCAGATATAAAATACACGTGTTTTGGGAGAGTCACTAAAAGGGGGTGCATTTAATGTTTTGTTGTAATATTTGTCAATCATTTTAATTGTCCCCGTATTCAGCTGTGGGGCATGGGAAGATTACCACTGAGTAAGTTGTGTGGCCAGGTACTTAATCCAGACTTAAACTGGACACACACACACCCCACCCCCCTTCCCATTAATGAAGGGCTGTGCATTAATGATACACAGAACATGGTGCAGAGTACACACTGGAACCCAAGCTCAGATCTTTTATGACAAATTGAATCACGGCATTAAGAGAGACCCATATTCCAGCAATAAAATGTTAAAAGGAAAACAACCCCAAAGCAAAGGTGGATTTTTCTCCTTTGACACACAGATGGAGTAAATGCTGCTGATAGTGTTTGGAAGCCCTGTGGCTGTTGGTGCAGTGATGTTAAGCTGTGTCTATCCATAGTCCTACATCGTTTGGCAGATGATGCTGGTGTGAGGCAGGAGGGACTGAGTCAGTTGCACCCGTGGAGGTGTTGCAGATTTTCATGCTATTTTTCTGTGTTGCTCAGCTAAACTGGGAAGACAGTAATGATGCATTATATGATATGGCCTATGGCAGTGTTTTAATTGCTTTTCAAATCTAGTCTGCCAGGCAGAATTACACAGGTTAGAGATGATAGGGCGTTCCCCAGGCTGGGATTGCAGCAGCCTCATTTGAGTGCTGTGTGGCAGGAGGCTGAGGGCTTGGCTAGTTTTGTGGAGTTCAGGAACACCAGAGAGGGGAGGAATTCAAGGCTACGTTCCGTATCTGACTCTGCAAGAAAAAAAGCTGTCAGTAACTGTAGCACCAAGGCCCTCAAAACCCTTTACACTTTCTGGCTGTTGAGCCCCATCAGTCAGCAAGAGCAATGTTCCCATTGTGAAGTGACAGAGTGGCACATTTGCTGCCAGAGAGATAACATAGCTCAGGGGCAGCGAGTGCTGTGCCTGGGTTGATTCCTCAAGAGTCACTGCTCTGTCACCAGAGGAGATGTTCAGGTCAGATCCCATCACGTACCACCTCTGGTGATTGAGTGTTGCAGTACATGAAGGATGTGGATTAGATAAGCCCTCTCCTGGTGCACTCTACACTCTCACAGTTATTTTAGTCTGTAGACACAGTGAAAATGAAAAGCTTGATCCATTTATCATTAAAAAATTGAGCCTTATTCACCAGTTCCCTGCTTTTCCTTGCCCTGCTGTAAGGCTAACTTCACCTGCACTAATAATTCAAGTTTGTAGGTGACACAAGATAAACGCCTGAGTAAGCGAGGCCACGTACTGCTTTTTAGGCTATAAAATAATAATTCATTTTTCCCCTCTTTCTTAGCGCTGTTTTACATTTATGGATCGTGGATTTTTGTTCAAGGTGGTCAACAACTACATAAGTATGTTTGGAACAGGAGATAGCAAGGTATGGGTTTCAGTTGTTTGGTTTTGGTTTTTCTGAAGTTGCTCACTGGCAGAAAACTGAAACTATTTATGACCTATTCCATGGCACCACCACGCTCAGAACTCACGTCAGTGAAATCATTTAATATAAATATGTGTTAAACCCTCTTGGTTTTAAGCCATCTATCCCCTTTTCTGGAAGTAAATAGCCATGTCCAATAATGCAGTTGGAATTTATTGTAATAGCGAATGAAGCATCAGCATTTCTGTTCCACAGGAATACCCCTCACACTGTTCCATATTTTGACATTTAAACATTGTTTTGAGAAATATTTATGCAGAAGTTGAAATACCTCATTAGAATTCAAGTCATTGTTGTGTTCCCTCAAAATGTCACAGTTCCTCTTGGGAAACACATTTCGGGTGCTTCACTTCTTCATTTGCTTCTAGACCCTGAACTGCATGTCCAGCTGTATCCCTAGTGAGGTACTACAGAGCAATAAAATGTTTCTGGGGAAAAGCTCCTACTAACCACTGCTTGATAGGCTCTGAAAAGTGATGGTGGCAGCAGAAACACTGCAATTTAATTTTAGGGACTGACAGACTTACCCACAGGGCAAATAAAATAATCCTTACGAGTACTTTCTAGTGCTGGGGCAAATGTCTAACTGAGGTCAGTGAGCTGAGAAGATGAAAATTAAAATTTATTACTGGGTGACATGTATTATCTTTATATCTCAGTGGCACATCATTATAGTGGGAATGATAAATTTTTGAGGTACTTGCAGGGCTCTACAGAAGATCGTGGATGGCTTCTTGGGAGGAAAGTGTGAAGGAAATAATATCAAAATTATAGAATGCCCAAACCCCTTAGAACTGGAACTCTATGGTATCAATAGAGGAAGTTTTCACCACTGTCAGTAAGAGTTGTATCTGGCCTGTGTGGCTGAAACTTTGTGTTTCATGGACCAAAAAAAGAAGGGAAAAAAAAAGGGGGGAGGGGAAATGCATAATAGTTTTGTCTGTTTCAAATTTATGTGAGCTGGAGAAGATACTTTGCTGTGGTTATATACTGTATTATTTAACACTAGAAGACCCAGTATAGCTTTAAATATGCCTTAAATATTTAGCTTGGATCAGGCTTATATTTATCAGTACATGTTCAATGAAAAAATCATAGTTGAGGAATCCAGAAAGCTTGGCTGACTGTGACAGGCTTGTCTGATAACAGAGACAAGCACCAAATGTTTATTACTTGTGCAGCTTGGCGTAACAAGCTGTAAGGTTTCATTGTTGGGTGTGGGTGTGAGTTGAGAGGTAGAGGTAAATAGCAGTGCATCTTACCATTTTCTTTGCTTTATTGTGAACTGAGCCATTGCCTGTTGTGATTTTCAGATTTTACATCAGTTCAAATTTGACTTTCTCCAAGAGGTGTGTCACCATGAGCACTTCATCCCTCTGTGCCTGCCCATACGGTCTTCAAACATTCCTGGTAAGGTACCACCCTGACAGGGTCTCTGAACAGCAGTGAATTATCAGGAGGCTCAAAGAGCAGATCACAATTAACTCTCTGAAGTATCTATCGTGTCTGCACGTCAGGCACAGCAGCCCCAAGTGGCTTTTCAGGTGTGGCACTTCAGCAGTGTGACAAAAATCACATCATTCCAGTATGCCTGCAAATACCTGCAACCCCTGACAGACCAGTTAGGCAGTGGGAGGTGCCTCTTCCACTGCAAGCTTGAGGTGAATGAGCTGGACTCTTTCTGAGGACTAACTACTGAAGCTGCAGTAGCCTTGGGAGGTGGTGAGCTGGGGAAGGGGTTGAACAGGTACAGCAGGAGGGAGAAGACACTGAGGTAAGAGCACTGTGAAACTCCTACCTAGGGACAGGCTTTCCTGCTGCTGTCAGGAGTATGACTTGTCCATGGACAGCCTGTCCTTTGTGGGAAGATCTGGCCTGGACATGCAGCAGGAGTTTGGAAACTTCAGATAAAGGGCCATTGGTGCTTTTGCCTCCAGAGTGTCTCTAGGACGGGCAGGCAGGTCCTGTGAAATAGCCTTTTTCTCCAAAATGCATTTACTTTCTTGGCCTCATGCAAGCCTGGGTTTAACATGGTCATCATACTGCAGGGGAGGCTCATTTCAGAATCTGTTATTAGCACCTCCTGAGCTGCTCCTCAGGGCAGAGGCCACTGTGTAACTGATGACTTGCAGAGAAGCATGAACAGGTTGTCATGAAAAGTGAAATCCACCCTGCCCGTGCCCCAGATCCAGTGTCATTCCATCTCATGCACTGAAATCTGTCATTTCAAACCCAGCTTGGTGGCCAGTGCCCAGCACTGGGTGCTTTTCCTCTTGGTTTCTGAAGTGCTGGGATTCCAGCCCTGGGCACAGTTCCCAGTTCTGACAGTTTTCTGTGGACTCTAGGGAGTGCACTTGGGATGTGGTGCTGAAAGTGGAAGGTATCTTCCAGTGGAAGGCAGAATCATCTCTCTAGGCAGCATCTCTCAAAATAAGAGCCTCCTTGTCTCCTTTTTGCTTCAGTTTTCAGCACCAAAAAGCGAGTTCAGTTCCAATACTCACGGATTTCTTCAACAGTAGAAGCTGTTTCATTCCAATTTGAGTCAAATTTAAAAGAAAAAGAAAATTACAAAGCAAATGTATTTTTTTACACTTAAGAAATTAAAAAATGCCTTTTTTTTCAATATTTATGGAAAATGCAGATCCTGTGACACCTTCAGAATCAACACAGGAATATCGAACATCAGGTAAGAACAAAATGACTGCAGAAGAAATAGGCAGAACTGTGCATAAGAAATAAGCAGAATTGTGCATCAGGAGCTTTAAGAGTTACTTTGAATGCTGCCACTGAGCTGTGGCAAAAGTTACCACTTTCAAGAGTGGTATTAATCTGATCCCTGTGTTGTCAAACTCTTCTGGCTAGAAATGGTAACAACAGTTTGGGCTCTGTGCCTCAAAGAAGTGAATATTCTTACTGTGTGCAAATCATTGTGAGATTCTCGTGGGAATGTGTAATACAAATTGACTTTTACTGTTAAATTGTAAAAACTGCATGATTTTGAGAAACAGTAATATTAGGCTAAGTCATTTTAGCAAGTGAGGCAGCAGAATGGGGCAGCCAGGTGAGGAAATCAAATTTTAATAGCAGATTAAATCAATAAAAGTTGTTGAAAATTTGGAAAGAGGGGAGAGTATGTAACCTATATAGTATGTAACCTATATAATAATTTAATCATTCTTGTCCATTCTGTTCCAAGATATTCCAGAGTACACGTTGACCAATGATTTTTGCCGTAAACACTTCCTGATTGGAGTCCTGCTGAGGGAGGTTGGGTTTGCCTTGCAGGAAGACCAGGATATTAGGCACTTGGCTTTGGCTGTGCTTAAAAACTTGATGGCAAAGCATTCCTTTGATGATCGATACGCAGAGCCGGTAAAGAAACTCTTTATTCTCTTTCATTTGCTTGGTCACGCAGCAGCTAAACGTGTGTGAAACTTCCTTAGCCACTGTTAATTGGTTGCTGCAGGATTATGTTGTGTCTTCGTATTTTTTAGGCAAAACAGGCAGAAATAGCAAACCTGTACATGCCACTCTATGGGATGCTTTTGGACAACATGCCAAGGATTTACATGAAAGATATGTTCCTTTTCAATATCAATACTTCCAATCAGGTAATTCTTGTGATTTTTCACAACACTGAAATGATTAAGCTGAGGTTTGACCCAGTCAGTCTGGTGGGACAATGTCCAAGTTTGTGCTGGTCCCAAATTAGCTAATGAAGTGCAGTCCTGAAAATGCTGATTCGAGGTCTGCAGCCCCAGCCAGTCCATCCTGTACATCTGCCCTGGTGCTGCAGGCTGGGGGTTGAGGACCCTGTCCTCGGGAAGGTCCCTTGGCAGGGAGACACTGCTGGGAAGAAGAGCTCCCCTCACCCACAGATTCTTTGCAGGGTTGTGTCAGGAGCTCCACTGGTACAGCAGAGGGACCATGAGCTATAGCAGGAGGCAGAGGGAATGCATACAAGTTGCTGAAGGAGGGAAGGGCCACAGAAACCTCCTAAAACAGCTTTACCACCACAGAAAATGTCTGTATAAACTGCACATGTGGAGAAGAAATTTTGTTTATTTCTTGAAAGATTAGTTGTGTTACAGTCACAGCGCTGCTTTAAAAACTAGAAGCAGATTTCTGCAGGGCTGTGGTGTCTCCCATCTGATCTTTGCTCACAGCAGGTCCTGCTCCCTCCCCAGTCCTGTGCTCGTGTTCAAGAAGCAAACCCCATTAGACTTGCTCTGTCCTTCACAACCTCAGTTACGAGGGGGTTTCCTATCGCAGGTCACTATTTAGTGTATTGTGGTGAGCTTTGATCTTACAAGCCTGTCACACTTAAACAACTGGAGGTACATTTTCGAGCTCAGTGTCTAAGAAAAGCTGTCTTTATGAAAGTTACTGGAGTTTGTTCTGTTTCTTTTGAAACACAGGGATCCAGGGATGACTTGAGCACAGCTGGAGGGTTTCAGAGCCAGCCAGCAATGAAACATGCCAACTCTGTGGACACGTCCTTCTCCAAAGATGTCCTGAACTCTATAGCAGGTATAAATGACAGATTGAATATGCACACAGGTAGATTTCTGTGTATCTCAGTCCATCGTGCTTTCTGCTTGGTATTCATGGAAGATACCATTAACCCATTTTACACAATACTCAGGGAAACATGCTGTGCAGTGTTTCTCATCCCTTTGGGTGTATTTAGATGGATTTTTATTTCTCATGTGAAGCTGTTCTTCTTCCACTGCTTGACTTCCTCTCCTGCTGTGGAATGATGCCAGTATTCAGGCGCTCACAAATCCCCAGGCCTGAGTTCATTCTTGTAGTTCCTGCCTGACTTAAGCATAGTCCCAAGGTTTCTCCCCAAACTCCTCAGGTCTCTTGGAGAGACGTATTCATAGTTTTTCCAGGTGTAATGGAAGGGTAGAAGCACAACTTACTTTGTTCACTTGCTCTAAATCCCATTTTCCCAATTCAGGGAGGTGCTTGGGCATCTTTCCACTGATTTTTATGGCTTTAGGTCAGGCCTTAGGGAATGCAGCAGGCCATGTTAATACCATGAATAATGGCAAACTGAGTCATTTTACTTCAACTTGTTGCATGGTTTTGGTACTAAACATACCCATCAATAGCTTTGCTATTGGAAGTTCATAGCACTGGTGTCAGTCCAGCATGCGACACGTTTTCAGTTTTCCATTTTTCTTGTTAGTTTTTGTATCCATAAATGTTTGAGTTTAGCATGTTTGCTATGACTTTCATTTACAGCCTTTTCATCAATAGCTATCTCTGCAGCAAACCATGCTGACTCCAGAGCTTCCTTAGCAAGTCTTGAATCTAACCCAAGTACCAATGAAAAAAACAGTGAAAGAACTGACACGTGTGAAAAGGTACATGTGCAAATGTTGGAAACGGTTACCAGAGGTGGAAACCTCTCACTGGACTTAACGAGGCCCTTTGCTGTCCATTCAACAGATCATGAGACCTTTGTCTTTGATTGGATCAACTCTTCGTTTTGACAAGCTGGACCAAGCTGAAACTCGAAGCCTTCTGATGTGTTTCCTTCACATTATGAAAACCATTTCGGAAGGTAAGGAAATGTGCACTCACTACCTAACGTGCCTTGTTGTAAAATACTCTGAATGTTGAATCCAAACAAACATTAAATTAGAATAATTATCAGTGTATTTTCCAAGCTTTGGGTCAAGTTCAATTCCCTGTAACAGTTACATAATGTATTTTAATCTCTCCCTTTAGACACTCTGATTTCCTACTGGTTGCGAGCACCATTCTCAGAAATAACAGACTTTTTCAGCATTTTAGAGTAAGTTCATTTTGTGGTTGTTTGGTTGTATGTTAAATGATGATGTTCTAAAGTGACTGCTGCAAATAATTTCTCTTTGGGTTCATTGTCCTAAGGCAATAGGCTGCCATAGCTCTTGTGTCTTATTTTGCCATAGTCTTCTGAAGTCGTAATGAGACATTACTCCTAAAACCCATATCCTCCAATGTATTGGTCATTTCCATGAACAGGGGACATCATGCTTTGGGTGGTTCTTCTAAAAGAGTTTTTTGGAGTAATTTTCCATTTGGGGTTGGGATTCTGTTCTTCCATTAAATAAAGTATTTAGCTCCACAAAATTTCCAAACCATGAGAAAAGGCATGTAAAGTAGTATTGCCTGCTGTTCACACCTCCAAGGTTGTTTGCTCAATCTGCTCTAGGCATGCCTGCAGAATCCATGCAGGTAGCTGTGAGCTGTTTAACTTCAGCTGGTGAAGAAGCAATGCTTTTGCAGCCAAGTCTTTGCCCCCTCACCAAGCAGGAATCTTCAACTGTGGAGAAAGGGAACAATGGTGTGGAATGTGGTGCCACATCTCCTGCATCCCTAGGCTGGGAACGGATGCATTTTGCTCTGTTTGCTTCCTAGGAGGTGCACGTGCCACATCTCTCTTCAGGGCACCAAGATTTAGCATTCTTTTCATAATTAGGAAGCTATTAATAGACAAACTGTGTTGGTTTATCTTTCAGGGTTTGTCTGCAAAATTTCAGATACCTAGGAAAACGCAACATTGTCAGGTAATTCTCCAGTTACAGACTGTTAGAGTGTTTAGATCTTACCGCATTGCACTATGCTTAAATGAGATTAACAGCATTTCTGTCTGTGTTCCCCTGGAAGTGTCAGCCTGACCTGCTAAAGCCAATGTATGCCTTGTTTTTTCTTTTATGAAAACAATGTTTTCTTGATACTCTGGACACCTGAGTACACACCTGGAGTAAAAGATGAATTGAATGCAGTGCTATGATAACCACCATTGCATTCATAATCCAAAATACTGGGCCATCCTCAACCATATTTATGTGCATATGCCAAACAAAGGAACCTGAACCCTGTATCTTCTATCCATAGAATAGAAAGAATAGTTTTAATGGGCATAGATAAATGTTCCACAGCAATAAAAACCAATCTCCTGTCTCCACTCACTCTCTGAAGAAGCATGAGGTGGTGTTCCAGCTGTGAAATGTGAAATGCACACTTGGCCTCAGCTGATCTTTCATTTTTAATGTACTGTTACTGCTCTGAACTTGTCTGCATGTCATACCGTGGAGAAACAAAAGATCACCAGATAAAGCAGGTCATGCTCCATGGCAGGTTCTGTCAGGCCTGTATTTATTCTTCAGAGGCATGGCAAAATCAGTGTCATGTTCCATAACAGATTAATGGTTATTTTCTCTTAACAGGAAAATTGCTGCTGCTTTTAAGTTTGTCCAGGCCACCCAGAATAATGGAACCCTTAAAGGTTCAAACTCCTCTGGCCAGGCGTCGGGTCTGCTCTCACAATGGTAATGTCACGTTGTATCATTAACTCCTATAAACCACAACCTTTGTAATGCATTTCAGAAGCCCTAAAGCCATAAACCATAAAAGAATTGAGTCGCTCTAACTTCAACTTGACTTACAAACTGGTGTTTAAAGTGTTATCATCAGAAAATTCTGTAGCTACTGTCAATATTGTGAAATATGGCAGAAACAGTAGCTGTTGTTTCAGCTCAGGTCCCTGTCTCACAGAAGCTCCACTACTTCTTTCATGAGCAGGATGTATTTTTCTTGTATTTTAAGTTTAAGCTTGTCTCAGTTTCTCTTTGCCCAAAGGCAGTTTTAAGGTATTTAAGCTGATGCTTTTTTTCAGTGCTTAGTGAGTGTTTTGTCTCCTGTGATCACAAGAAATCACAGCACATGTTTGTTTTGTCCACCTAATTGACTTACTTTTTCATCTTGGTTTCTCTGACAAATTTTGCTTCAGTTTGTTTATCTTAGCCTTTGAGAAGTACTGCAGGAAATTCTGACTGATGTGGAAAAATTTTGTACAGGCGTGATAGTTTAGTCTTTGTTTCTGTTTTTTAATGGTACCTTTCAATTTCAGGATGCATTCTACTTCTAGCCATGATGGCCACAAGCATCACAGGTCTCAAACATTGCCAATAATCCGTGGCAAAAATGCACTTTCTAACCCCAAACTCTTGCAGATGATAGACAGCAGCACCACAAGTAAGTACAAAAAGTTATTTCCTTCCCTCTTGAATTCTGTGCATTTGGGATCAGGCTCTACACAAGTAAATCTTTTTCAGTAGTGCCAGTGAAAGACAGCCTGAAGAGAAGAGGCTGAACATAAACAGAGCTGATGACTCTGCCTTTTTTTCAGGAGACTAAGAAATCTGAGCTTAAATTTGGTCAAAGTTCATTTAGAAATAAAATTAATGACAATAAAATGACATATTTGAATAGTCTTAATGACAGGTTATTCCCCACTTTGCAGAGTGTCTCACATCTATTGTTACGTACCTTGGTGTACAAGCAGTTGTACACTGGCTGAAATATTACATGTATGACATCTGGCAATAAAAGTGACCTTTTTGTGACTGAAGCTTGTTTAAAGGATGAAATCAAAGTCATCTACCCCACTTCCCAATTAAGTTTCTCTCTTCCTTTAAGGACAAACAGATACAATGAAAGAGTATGCTCACATCACTGGTGCAGCTGGTAAAAGCTGACTCAAATTCTCACACCTTTCCTGTGAGCAGTTTTCTTCAGAATGCCCCCTTGGTTAAATGCACAGTTCAGGTTCCATCGCTGCTGTGCTGAGACTTGATGGCCAGATTGCAGAATTACATCAGCTCTAACTTGTCCTGGGTTTGACTCTACTCAGAGGATTGTTCTCTTGCTTTTTCTGTGCTGCAGGCAGCTCCAATGAGACGGACATTGTACAGTATGTAGACACCGAGGCAAACATTGCCACAGAGGTTTCCCTCACAATCCTTGACCTGTTGTGTCTTTACACTCTGAATCACCAGGTATGTTTTACTGTTTCATTTTCTGCTTGAACTGGTGCCACATGGGCTGTGTGGTGGAAGGAAGGCCTTGGGGAGCAGGCAGTGAAATGCCTGAGACAGCAGGATAGGTACACAAGACATGCCAGTTCTCAGTGAAGGTATTTTCTGAAGGAACTGACTCACAGTACCCAAGAAGGCTGTGGAAGGAGAGCATCATATGTATCCATGACTATGTACAGCCCTGCTCTGCATTAAAGTGTCATGCATCTACTAAGACATCACCTTATCTGAATCATGCTTATTCCACTAGATTTCAGAGATTTTAGGCAAAAGGTTTCTGAGCTCCTTATCATCTCCCTCTCTTCAAGTCAGCAGGTGGATCCTCTGCTTCTTTAAAAATTGCTCTATAAATATCAGCCCAGCTATCTTCCTGAATGTCTCCCAGCTACGACACAGCAGGCAGCTCCTTTCAGATGTAGTGTCTCCTTTTCTGCCACCCTAGTCTTTAAATCTCATGTATACCATCCACAAGTAGGAGTACAGGCCTAGGAAAGTGCTGTCCCCGAAAACATGCAGATACGAAGAGTCTGCAGGAAGCTGGGAACACCTCATCCACAGAGACTTTACATTGAAAAAATCATCTCCCTAGGAACACTCCAACATAAAGTCCGGCAGATCCTCCTTCTGTTTTTCCACTTTAATAACCAGAATGTGCCATCTCATCTGTGAATTTTCAGAGGCAGCTCCAGCAGTCCGACTGCCAGAATGCATTGATGAGGAAGGTCTTCGACACGCACATGCTCTTTTTGCAAATCAACCAGTCAGCAGCAGCTCTCAAGCACGTCTTTGCTGCCCTGCGGCTCTTTGTGGGCAAGGTAACTCTGGCTTTATAACCATCTGCTACAGCACGTGCAGCTTGAGGCCAGGCGGGTACTTTGAAAGGGTTCTGAACTTCACTGGGTTTATTCATGCTCATTCCTGACAAAGACCTTCTGATATATTGCTGATTAAAAGTGAGAAGCTCACCATATCTGAAAAATCAGTTCTGTTTTGGAAAATGAGAAAGTTAATAAGAAATTGAAATAATTAAAGAGAAGAAAGTAGAATAAATAAGTAGGAGTAAATAGATAAGGAGTGTCCAGGTCTGTGGTATCTGGCTGTGTCAGTGGCTTTCATGCTTTTACCACCCATGGAAGAAAGCTTGAAACCCCAGAAGAGAGTGTTCTTCCTGGCAGATACCTGGGTCACTGGATCCAGCAGGGAATGGCTACAGAATATTCCATACACTTCTGCAAAAGTTCATCTAAACTACTACTTTTCTACAAATACCTTGTCAACATAGAAGAGTTTTTGGACAAAAACATGCTTGCATGTCAAACTGTTTGTTTGCCTGCATTGCACGTACATAAATGATGCTGGGCAACTAGATACTTTGTGCCAGCTGCTAAGGCTGCACAATTTTCAAGTCATGGACTCAGATGAGATCCTGTTAAAACAAACCAGACTGTAGCTCACAGATCACAACTGCCGTGGGGAAGTGAGAGTAAGCCAGGCTGGCCTGATCCCCCAGATGTTTTGGTGGAGCACAGCAGTGTCAATCAGTCCAAACCATGTGGCCTCCTCCTGGTTGTTACCTCGGGGGAAAAGAGGAGGAAATCATGTTTCTCTCAGTAACACAGTTTGAGGACATGAGGGAAATATGAAGTGAGCCATCCACAGACAGATTTAAATAACACACCAGACAGTCAGGAATGGAAGATGCAGTGGGGAGGAGGAATAAATATCCCGCACTGCCCTTTTCATTCATCCTGTAGCTCCTGAGAATGTAGCTCTGTGGGAACTGGGATCAGTCACAGTTCCTGCAGCAGAACCTCTCAGGCAGTACTTGTGATCTGTAGCCAATATGTACATCTTCCACCTCTCCTCGGTCTGTCCTCTGTTCTGTTCACCCTGCTGATAACCAGCAGGTATGGTTTGAAGGGCCATCCTTCACCCTCTGTTGTCTCCTGCTGTTCAAACCCTTGACTGCTGGAGGCTGGCTGACTTTGCTGTGCAAAAGGATTTTCCTTCTCCTGAACAGCTTTCATGGTAGTGCAGAACCCCCCTGCTTTTCCTGGGTAGCTGTTCTGCATTCCCTTCAGACATGGTGCTCTGCTTTTACTTTTGCTTTGTTCCAGCTGCTGCCTGGACTTCCTGGAGCCAGGCAGGTCCTTGCCTTGCATATGCCATTTGTGTGAAAACCCATGTCCAGCTTTCACTTAGTCTTAATTTGCACGTGGGCTTATGTTTAGCTGGTGGCTAATTTTTTTCACTAAACCCTGATGTGAGCAAATAGGGGAGAGAGAGTTGTTTTTACTGTAATCTTAACAGAAAAAAGTATTGACTCAGAATAACCATCCCAAGGCCTGAGAGCAGTGCTGAACATACTCACACGTTTTTTTTCCCAATAGTTCCCATCAGCATTCTTCCAAGGACAAGCAGATCTCTGTGGTTCCCTCTGCTATGAGATCCTGAAGTGTTGTAACCACAGGTCACGTTCAACTCAGACAGAGGCATCTGCTCTGCTCTATTTTTTCATGAGAAAGAACTTTGAATTTAACAAGCAGAAATCAATAGTCAGATCCCATCTACAGGTAAGTGAAGTATGAGCTCAGCAGTATTTTAGCTGATGTGTGTTGGTTTTATCATGATTATTTTTATGCATTGTAGCAAAGAAGTTTTTGGGACGTCCTCAGACAGGCAGTTCTCTGTGGCAGCTCAGTTTTCCTGCCAAGGCTGAAGACGTTGGGCTGGATTCTCTGCTGTTCTTGGGCTGCCTGGCTCCATTCCAGGGACAGACAACAGCTGTGAATGCTGCCACGTAGCCAGTAAATAGCCAGATAAATGGCTATTCTTGGTTCATGTGCCTTGCTTACAGGAGTGAGAACACAGCTGGTGGAGGAACTGGGCAGAATCTGATTGTATCATACAGAGATGGAAAGCCCAGTAACAGAAATGGAAAGTCCATTAACAGTCATAAAATCATAGAACTGTTTAGGTTGGAAGGGACCTTCAAGATCATCTAATTCCAAACCCTCTGCCATTGGCAGAGACACCTCCCACAAGACCAGCAAAGCTCCATCCAACCTGGTCTTGAACATATCCAGGGATGGAGCATCCACACCTTCCCTGGGCAACCTGTTCCAGTGTCTCACCACCCTCAGAGTGAAGAACTTCTTCCTAATTTCTAATCTAAATCTCCCTCTTCCAGTGTGAGGCCATTACCCCTTGTCCTATCACTACAAGCCCTTGTAAGAAGTCCCTCCCCAGCTTTCTTGTATGCTCAATGCACTGACACTGCAAAACTTGAGTGATTACAAACATTGCAAAGATTACTCACAGTCCCTGCGTTTCTATATGTTATCTTAAGTCAGGTGTTAAAGCACCCCCCTGCTAGCCTGGTACATCAAGTCATACTGAAACAGCAATTAAAAACTTTGCAGGAACGTTGATTTTCTGTGCTAATTGCCCCCTGTTTGCTCCCCCCCCTGCAGCTCATCAAAGCAGTGAGCCAGCTGATAGCGGATGCGGGGATCGGCGGATCGCGCTTCCAACATTCACTTGCAATTATAAATAATTTTGCTAATGGAGACAAGCAGATGAAAGTAAGAAACCATTTTTGCCAGTCACTACCTCTTGCAAAAGGTCGGCAATTTCAGAGGAGCAACTGTTTCAGTGCATAAACTTGCTGGTGTTTATGAGACAGTTATTTATGCATTCATATGGTGCCTTTTTCAGGCAGCCTGAAAGTCATGAAAGTGTTTGTGACTCAGAAGCTTAATAATTGAAACTACTTTTTAAAACAACTAAGGGAAATTTTTATTTGGAAGTTGTATTATTCACTGCTTATTTTGTTCATTTCCCTGATGTCAGAGAAGATATTGTGCACTGTGACCAGGGAACACAATTGCAGTGACAATTTTCAGTCTACAGACTGTCTCTTTACTGTTCAGTAAATGTGTAACAAAAACATGCACAACAACTCGCTGAAAAAGGCACTGAGTTGAGGTACCATTGCTTCAAAGCCTACTGAATTAGGGAGGGGGAGGATCTTCCATAAGCAGGACTTCAGCTCATTCAGGGGTGCTGCAGGAGGCTCTGCGGATGGTTTTAGTGATGTATTGCTTATCTTTCCCAAAGAACCTTAATTTCCCAGCAGAGGTGAAGGACCTGACCAAACGCATCCGAACGGTTTTGATGGCCACAGCTCAGATGAAGGAGCATGAGAAAGACCCTGAGATGCTCGTGGATCTGCAGTACAGCCTGGCAAATTCATATGCCAGCACACCTGAATTACGTAGGACATGGCTCGAAAGCATGGCCAAGATTCATGCAAGAAATGGAGATTTATCAGAGGTAATGTAAATAAATGAGTAGACAATCCACTTGTCTTTAGGCTGAGAAGATAAGGGCTCTGAAAGACAGACAACAATAAGAGAGGGGATCGCATCAATATCTGAAAGGTGGTTGTCAAGAGGATGGGGCCAGATTCTTGTCAGTGGTGCCCAGAAACAGGAAGAGGAGTAACGGGCACAAACTGGAACCCGGGAGGTTCCACCTGAACCTGAGGAAAAGCTTCTCTCCTGTGAGGGGGCAGAGCGTGGAGCAGAGTGCCCAGAGAGGCTGTGGAGTCTCCCTCTCTGGAGACCCCTGTCTCATGGGGGTGCTGTGCCCAGCATCCCCTTGGCATCTGCTGAGCCCGAACGGGCACAGTAGCAGTGGCGTAGATGAGGGTATGAGCAGTGCAAAACTTGCATGAAGGATTTTCTTCTCCCCTGCTGTGGACAGCAGAGGAGCTTCATTTATTTTGCCTTGTCCTTTTCTTCAAAATTTAAATGGGTGATGCAAAACTCCAGTGCATAACCTGTGAATGTCTTATTTGCTAAGTAATCTGGATGGTTTTCTGAGCAAATCTATGCTTTTCCCTTAGACACCTAGAGACACTAACACTCAGGAAAGATTCCATCATTTAATCCTTTATTTTCTTATATTTATTTTGTCTTCCCTTTTCTGCAGCATGACTTGACAGTGATGACAATAACCTATACCTGTGTCTCGGTCTCTCCTTACAGGCTGCCATGTGCTATATTCATATTGCTGCTCTCATTGCAGAGTACCTGAAAAGAAAGGGTAAGACCAATATATTCAAAACCAACTATGTAGCTATAAACATTATTGTTGAAAATAATTTTTGGCTGCCATGCTTTCCTTCATTATGTATAAAACAGTCTTAAAGCTGCTTGAATTCTTCCCAAATATTTTATTTTTTTTAAATATCTCGTAAATGCCAGTCTTAGCACTGGAACAGGGGAAGTGTGTGTTTAGTGTGAAGAGGGTTAATTAAATGTTTAGTAAGCTAGTGCTAAAAGAGAATGCTTCACTTGTTAGTCTGTCGTTATTAAATATGCATGTATTAACACGTACCAGTAGCAGTGTACTAATACCATCTTACACTATCATAGGTTACTGGAAAATGGAAAAGATTTGTACCTCACGTATGCTCCTGGAAGATGGTCAAGTCTCTGATAGTAATGTGTTACTAACAACTCACACTGGAGGAAGTGAGTGCTCTAACCGTGCCTGTTCATGGGTCCAGTAACAGAATCGGGGAACCAAACCCTTGTTCTCCAGCTGCTATGGAAAAACACCTACCAAAGCAAAAACATTTATACTGCATGTTGGTGGCTGTAGTCATGTTGGAAGCAAGCAATGTCAGAAACACTGTGTGTTCCTTCCTGATGCTCTTTGGCTGGTTTGATGTCTTGCTCAGAATGTCTCTGGTTAAAGGGGTTTTTCAGCAAGGGAGCAGCAGTCAGCTCTTCATCGGCCCCAGAAATCCCTCCTGGGCCAGCTGGTGTTTAGCACACAAATCCATGTCCAAGTCCTTGGCTATCCAAAGCTGGGAGGGCAGAGGGTGGATTTAATATCTGGTTATCCATATGTAACTTAGTGTCGATAATGTTTAGGGGGGTTTTAATCTGTGATGCTTATTAGAGAAATAAAGTGCAGGCTTACATGTTTAAATGCTTCTATACCAGTGGTTATTTAGTTGATGCAATGTGCATTTCAGAGGAATTCTCAGCATGAGGTATTTTAGCAGTTTTCACAAAGAGCAATTTTGAGGGGCAAGGGCAAATATCTGGGGAGGAGAAAACTGGTAGTTTTGGAAAGAGCATAGTTCTCCAATACACTTGGAGGTGTCTGTGGATGAGGTGAATAAATAAATCCTTTTAGAAGGATATAGATAGGATATTTAGAAGGATTTTAGCAGTATTTCAGACATGGGTCACTAGTGGTAAGATATTTTGCACATATAACAGATGACAGTAGGTGGAGTGAAGAACTTGTCATTATAAACCTATGTTTGATTCTTCAAAGCTTGGTAGAGGAGACGGAGCCCCTCTGTCTCAGTGTGTGAAGGTTAGCTTTTTAATTGTGCCCTAGTAGCATTTTCCTTCTTTTAAGCTGCACATGAATGGTGTCAGGAGCTTTGTAGAGGAGAGCCCCTCAGCCAGGGCTGCGGTCGCCGTACTGGCCCTGGCAGGGTAAGCAGCGGGGCTGCCGGGGGTCTGGGTGCTCCAGTGCACCCAGAGAGGGGTGGTGGAGGAGTGTAGAGAGATGCCCTAGAGGAGTGAGTTTTGCAAGGACTGCCAGCACTGTACAGCTAAGGAACCCAAATGCCAAAGAGAGGAATGAGCTTGCACCAGGCAAATGTTGCAGTTACCCTTTGCCTGGATTTATAGCGTAGAGATGATGTGTAATAGCCTTATAAATTCAGTCAGTTCCATTTGTGCTTCTCATCACTGGGGCTGTGAAAAAAGTCACTAGTGCAGTCAAATAAAATCAGCTCTGTTTTAATGGTGTCCAATAACTTTTTGAATTATCTGTTTATCCAGTCATTAACTGAGTTGTTGTGACTTGCACTTCAAGGCTTGTTCTCCATGGGATGGCCTGCTTTTCTGAGCATCACCCCCAACATTAAAGAAGAAGGTGCTATGAAAGAGGACTCTGGGATGCAAGATACTCCCTACAATGAGGTCAGAGTCACTGACATTTTATTTGCTTGTTCTGTATTAACAGAGAGTGTTACTTCTGATGGGTGCCTGTGAGTGCTGCAGGTTCTAGTGAGAGTGTACTTCAGGCAGCATGGAAAGGGGCACAGCTTTTGAGTGGCATGTCATGTACTAAATAGCAGGGATGGGTGCTTGGGTAACCAGAACATTGAGTACCAGAGCTGGAAGTCAGAGCAGGAGGGAGCCCACGAAGCAAAGACATTCTTCTGAACAGAGGTCAGGTATTCTGGTGTTTTCATGTTCCTGTTATTTCTGGGGTTTTATCTAAAGAATACCGGTCACCAATACCTGATTGGGCACAGTGGCATTGAAATAAACCTTAATATAGAAGTTACAGAATAAAAATTAAATAGTGGGTCTGTGCTTTTGCTGCCTTGCTGTTAGTTAAATGCCACCAGCTGTCGAATCACTGAACTATTTATATTTGTGGAACTGCAGAATATCCTTGTGGAGCAGCTGGAGTTGTGTGTTGAATACCTATGGAAGTCTGAGAGATACGAGCTTATTGCTGAGGTTAACAAGCCTATCATTGCTGTTTTTGAGAAGCAGAGGGACTTTAAAGTAAGTTGATTTTTTTTTTTAAATTATCTTAAGACAACAGTGAAGACCAGAATTTTAGGAAAACAAAAAAATCCTTGCTTTGGAAGGAGAGTTTTCTCCTTCCTCTCTGTAGTTTCTCCTTTTAATGCTTTGTGCTGTGAGTAAATAAAAACCTCTGGTATCTTACCTTCTTCTCTTCAGCAACACTACAGCAGTAAATGAACCAAAATATTTCCAAACAAACCTCGTGTTAGCCAGGGGATGTGAATTTTTCCCTGTGTTTTTAAACCAAGAGCACATTTGCATTGCATTTCAGTTTAGAAACTGATGATAAAATATGTGATTGCTTCACAGCACTGGGGTTTCTTTGCTTCTTACTCACTTGGCACTTTCCACACATAATGGATAGCTATTTTATCATCTCATTTGCTGTTTCATCTGGGTTAAAATTAAAGAAAAAATCAAAGAGGTAGGTATACGCAGGAAGCAGGTCCTGAGATTTTACCTTAGTTGAAATTTAGGTTCACTGTCCCGAGAAAGTGCTTTTTAGTGGTAATTGTGGATAGCATATCTTTGTGTAGGGTTGGAGTTGCTGACACCCTGCTCGTGCCTGCACCTAGCACACTTGGGTGCTCTGACTTCTCAGTAGATCCCTACCACTGTCTGGTTGTGGGATGCTTGTCTTCCAGTGTGACCCTGGACACAAAGGCCACAAAACTGCTCAGAAGATGACAGAAGCCTTGCAGTGCATGTTCAGTGGCAAAGTTCAGCTGAGCACGTGTGGCCATCTCTGTGAGGGTCTGGGGGCCCAGGGAAGGCAGCTGCAGTTGTGCAGAGCTGTCGGGGCATGTCTGAAGGATTCACGTGCCCTCAGTTCTCCTCCCTCTCCCTGTTCCTTCGTGCAGAGGCTGTCTGACCTGTACTACGACATCCACCGCTCCTACCTGAAGGTGGCCGAAGTGGTGAACTCAGAGAAGCGTCTCTTTGGGCGCTACTACCGCGTCGCCTTCTACGGGCAGGTAGGAGACCTGCCCCCCTGCCCTCACAGCCTGCTCCGGGCTCCTCTGTCCTCCTGCCTTTTGGGGAGGGTGGGACAGGGAAACGCCCAGCCATGAATCGTGGGGTGGGGAGTTCTTCGGGGTCAGGGTTTTACTCGGAAGACAGAACGTCTGTGTAAAGTGCTGCTGTGGATCCAGTGGGGTAAGGGAGAACTGATTGTGTGGCGACTTTAGTTCTTGACTTCGTCGAGCAAAACAGACTGAGCAGGGCAGTTTTTTCAGAATAAAACTTAAACGAACCCAGATAAGACATCTTAGATACCTGGCTCTCTCCTCTAACAGAGCTTGAAGCAGAACAGTATGCAGTAGATGTTTTGGTCTGTTTCTTGCTGGCTCTGACTTCTGCTTTCAAGCCACCTCTGATTCTGTGCAGTACACTGTAGAGTAGTCTTGTTCCCTCTGCTGTGCTTCAGCATCCTTGAAGCATTAGTTTGTGCTTTCTTCCACCACAAACCAGTGTAGCGATCCAGCATGTTCCTTTAAGACCTGGTTTTGGCCAGTGTACAGTTTCCTTTATTCTAAAATAATAAGGTGTGTAAACAACAGATTGATGTGAATCATTCTGTTTGCTAATTAGATTTTAATGCAGAAATTTGCTCTTTTCTCCCTTTGATCTTTTTCAAGGCTGTGGTAAGTCTAGTTCTTTTGCATGTTTCGTTTAATTCTCCTCACACATCCTCCATCCTTCCCCGTACAGTTACTGAACATTAACTTTCCTGTGCTCTCGATCCTTTGGTTGGTGGCAGATGAAATAATGTTGTTTCATCCGTTGTCACATCCTCCAAACTAATTTTGTCTGTTCCATCACCTGAATTCCTGTGTTGCTGTGTTGTGTGTGCACCGTGGGGCCCAATGCTGTGTCACTTCATCTCAGTGGAAGTTCTCTCAGCTTCACTGGGAGCAGGATTGGACCCCTTCTTCCTCCAGTGAAAAACTCGGTGTGGCATTAATGCTGTTTGAATGCAAGTCTGCTTTCCTGGCCTGGGCAGCTGCTCCAGAGGAAAAGGCTCTTGTGGCAGTCTGTGATCCATGGCAGTAACTGGAGAACTCTGGACACTTTCCTGGTAGTCCCTTGTAGGAGCAGGCAATTTGGGAGTCCGAGGGAAATGGTGAGTCCTGGCTCTTCGTACAGGCTAGCAAAGCTAAGCTCTCCAAACACAAGGAGAAAGCCAGCTGTGCCTGAGGAAGGGCAGAGGGTTTTTTGCCTTCCTCAAAACTGGGGCAGTGGAGGGGGAAATGGGACCCCTCTACTTGCAGCTTCTCAACAGTGGTCCTGCCAAGCTGGGTTAAAATCTCTGTTCAGGTTCAATGACTTTCCAGCTGCCAGTGCCACAAGGGCAACTTCGTTTAAACAGCTCTAGTGCTCTCAAGCATCTGACTTTTTCATAGCTGTGTGTTGCTCGGGGTCTTCCCTGGTGCCCCAGACACTGAGCTCCTAGGTGCAAGCCAGCACAGGTCCCTCCTCTCCTTCTGCAGGAGAGACGTTGTGTGCTGGGCAGGGGGGCTGCTCTGTAGCGCTCCTTGCAGAGCCCAGAGTGACAAAAGTGCACAGCATGGGGCAAATAATTAAAGGTGGATTGTTCCTGTTGGTGTCACTCCTGCCCCATTTACCCAGGAACATGGGAGCAGGAGCTTGCCAGCACACAAGGCACCATGGGGGGGGAGGTGTGGGTGCTGCAGGTGGAGCCTCACCTGGAAGAGGAGCCAGAGAGAGCAGTCTGTTCCATATTCTGGTTGTGCCTGCATATTTTCCCTTTGGAAGGTTTCCTGTATTTCTGTCAGTCCCTTCTTCCCATGTGCCACTTGCTTCCATTTTAGCTGTGCAAGTGGGAAGGTCCAGGGCCTTTGGGCCTCCTCTTGCCAAAAGCATCATAAGCCTCCCTGCCAAAAGGGTCGCAGTGCCCAGTTTGTTTAGAACGTGAAAACCAATTTGAAAACCCTTTGGTTTTGTGCTTCTGGCAGGCTTCACACACTCCTTCCCTAAAGCTCATAGTTGCAGGTTTTACACAGTTAAACCAGTGTAAAGCAATAGGAATCGCTCTGCTGAGGGCACTGCAGAGGAGATGCCACAGCAGGAAACTCAGTGTGCAGGTCTGGGATGCTGGGCATGCAACTCTGGGATTCCTTTTTACTCTTACATTTACACTGTTCCATAAAACACCTGTGGGTAGATACATAGGTAAGCACACATATATAAAAAATGTATTATTGCACATACAGATTTAACTATTTTTATTAATTGTATCAGTAATAAATATATACAAATATATATTTTGTAAAAATGGGACACCGCAGTTCTTAAGTGAAACAGCGACTGCAGAGAAAGCAGATTAAGGGACAAAAGAATCCTGAAAAATGCTGTGTGCAGGGAGACTTTTGAGGGTTCTCAGTAGAAAAACCAAATTTTCAGCTGCACCTGGAAGCTGTTATTCGTCACGTGAAGGCAGGGGCAGTGGGTGGGGACTGCACTGCAGCCTGGACCCTCTGGAAGGATGGTTTGAACGAATGTGGTCCTTAGGGAGGATGTAGCTGCTTGATTTGTTTGGTAGCTGCATTTGCAGCTGCCGTTCCACACTGCAGATTCTGTTAAGGCTCTTCGGTGACAACATCTCCTTGCACCACCAAGTGGTCGCACTAGCCAGTGCTTGTGATTGTGATCACCGAGGAGTGGTTTGAGAAGTCAATATCTTTATCGGATTAAAGCAAACAAAAATAACCTGTTAAATGTGTTGAATAGGTGAAAACTCCCATGGTGCTGATAAGCAAAGACATTCAAGCCTTGTTTCCATAGCAGAGTCAGGTAAAGGTAGAGCTGAGGGTTTGCTTTTTTTGCTGAGGGTTCCCATCTATAGGAGAAGCTGTAGAAGTTGGAGGGCAGGTTTTCATAGTGGCAAAGGTGATGGTGATTTAAGTCTGAAGAGCAGAAGACTTGTCCCCTTTTCAAAATATGACAGTACAGCTGCAGCTTCCTCATCAAAGACTTAGGACACGCTTGCTTACCACAGGATGAGGTGCTCACTTGGTACAGGCAGGGAAGGAGCCATTGGGTGCTAGCTTTTGGCAGGTCAAGCAGAAGGCTCTGCCTCGGCTCGTCGGCTGCAGGGATGGTGTGTGTTCCTTCACCAAGGGCCAGGGGACAGTCCCATTTACTGTGAGCTCCAGGGGCTGTCTCCAAGGGCATCCAGGGAGGAAAAAAGGCCTTTTCAGCCCTCCCACAGTGACAGTCCCAGGTCACAACTTGACTCTCAGCACATCAGAGCTCAGTGGAACCAATAACTGGTCCTCTCCCTTCCTTTACATTCAGCTGCTCCACATGATAGTTGTCATTTGTAAGGCTGCATGGTCCTTGCAGGGCAAAGCCAGCCAGCATGAGAATAATCTAGGGATATACATTGGTAATGTAGCCTGGGCTGCTTAGTATTTTAAAATCCTGAAACTGGAGGATATTTGGCTTCTGAAAAGTATTTAATCTCACCGTCAATAGTGTTTGCCAGACACACAGCATATGGCAGACACCATTATTTATAGCTCACAATTAACTTCTGCTTGTCACTTGTCAGCTGAAATACTGTAGGGGATATGTACTTAAATGATGTCTCTTGCATTAGAGACAAGACCAAGTCTGTTAGTTATTTGTTTTCAGGTATTTTTTTTCTAAGCAAAGCCATTAACACAGATATCATCTTATGTGCCATGCAGCATCAGCACCAAGATTGGGTAGTTGCATACCAACCCTGCTCCAGTGTGCAAACATACACGGAGTCGGTGTTTAGGAGCATCAACTGTATTCTAGCTTGCTATGTGATTAATTTGGAAAACATGAGGGGTTTTGTAGAAAACAGTGAATAATAACAGAAAACAGATGGGTTTTGACAGCAGCAATCCTGAGCAGCATGTTTAAGGATGGTTCTGTGAAACTAATGAGGTTTCACCATGTAAAACAGTTTGGCCTCAGCAGAAACGAGATCAGAATCCAGGCTGTGACCCTGCAGATCTTTTCTTAGTGAAACCAACAGAAAGTCAATTGCCTGCCCAGCTCAGTAAAATGTTTATAGGCTGTCAGCTTGTGAGCTCTAGATTTGTTCTCTAATTACCTGTGAAGTTCTTCATATGCCTATGGGGTTTAATTGGTAATAGCATTAGAAATTGGTCAGTGTTAGAAGGTGGCTGTGAGACTGATGAAGATGCTGTCAGGCACGCTGCTGCCCCTGCTCTTGGTCATTGGTTCTCAGAAAGGCCAAATTTTAAAGACTTGCCAAATTAAAAGACAATTTTATTGCCCCTTGTCCTCACTGCAGGAGAAGACAGAGATACATTTATTTGTTAATTCCTATTGAAATAAAAATCAGAGGTTTTTTTTCCTAAGCAAACATTAAAAGTAACAGCTAATTAATTTTAATTCTGTATACTCTTTTCTAAAGGTTAGCCTAGTCAATAACTGTAGTGTAAGCTGGAATGCCCTTCAGCATGGATAGGCTGGATTTTCTGTGAGTACCTTCCAGAGAGATCTTGGAGGTCTCTCTTGACTTCATTCATTTGTGGTTCTCTGTATTTTGATGGATGGCACTTTGCCTGGGCACATGGTAGAATTCCAGGCCATGTTGTGTTAAGTTTAAGGGGCGTTGGGTCTGACATCATTAATGCTGCCAGGTTTTCCCCTTCATCCCTAAAGCTTCAGGTGCTTTCTTCTGGGTCACTTTGCCTTAAGGTGAAAGGAGGAGGCTTTGGGTGCAGCTGCAGTGGTGGAAGCTGCCAGATCTCAGCAGCAGATCCTAGGAGGAGGTCTGGTGCTGCTCCTGGTGTTGGGATAAATCCAGTCCTTGTTAGTGGGGCTCCTGCTGCTTTCTGCTCAGCTGGGAGAGCTTCTCACAGAGTGTTGATGTCCACGTTCATCATGTAGCAGTGGAGTGTCTCACCTGCACGTGATGTAACACTCTGTTAACCTACTGAGGTCCTTATTTCTTCTAAAGCTTGTCAGGTTCTTGTTCAGTTCTTCACTGGAGACTTTTACAGATGCTCTGACAAGTCCATCCTGTGTAATAACTAAATGACCTTATCAAGATGGAGCTTTTTTGCAAAGGAGCACAGTCTGTCTTTTTTTTTTCTTTCCAAATGTAAATCAATTGCTATTTGTCTCTGAAAATGCTGCAATCACATAATGACAGCATGGTAGTAGCTGGAAGGGACCTTTGGAATCATCCTGTCCAACCTCCATGCTCCAGCAGGGTCACCCAAAGCAGGGTGCCCAGGATGGTGTCCAGGTGGGTTTGGAATCTCTCCAGAGAAGGAGACTCCACAGCCTCTCTGGGCAGCCTGCTCCAGGGCTCTGACACCCTCACAGGAAAGAAGCCTTACCTCAGGTGCAGGTGGAGCCTCCTGGGTTCCAGTTTGTGCCCGTTGCCCCTTGTCCTGTCGCTGGGCACCACTGACAAGAGTGTGACCCCAGCCTCTTGATCCCACCCTTTAACGATTGATGAGCATTGATCAGATCCCCTCTGAGTCTTCTATTCTCCAAGCTGAACAGCCCCAGGGCTCTCTTCAGTCAATTTAACCAAATGTTTAGAATTTAAAGTGTTTTCAGTGTCCAGTTTTTAAGTCATTAAGGTTTGTTTTTAATCATACACACATCATCAGCACTTTAATTCTTTAAATGGCCAGGTGTCTTAGATGAATAAATGTGTATGAGACATCTCCTGGGTAACTGTGGAGATAGCAGACCAGTATGAACACAGACCTCTGGTGCGTGTGTGCTGGGAGTGGAGAGAGGTGAACTTTTACCTTAGGTGCTGGGAATGGTGTATGGGATGCTCAGGTGGGCATAGAGGCAACCTCTGTTCCTTCTGTCAGCACCTCCTTTAGGCTTTGCCCTGCCTGTTGTGTTCACTGTATCCTTCCATTTCTTTTCAAACAGGGTTTCTTTGAAGAAGAGGAAGGTAAAGAGTATATCTATAAGGAACCCAAATTAACTGGCTTGTCTGAGATCTCTCAAAGGCTGATGAAACTTTACGCAGACAAGTTTGGGATAGATAACGTGAAGATCATCCAGGATTCCAACAAGGTAGGGTGCCAGGGCCACCCCGGGGCACCACCTTCCATGGGGAGGGAGCATGTTCCAGGTGTCTGCTGTGGTGCAGAAGCAGGTGCTGTCCTCTCTCCTTCAGCTTTTGTCCACTTCTGCCAATGGCTATAGTCCAAAATCTCACTGTTGTTAGGTTCAGTATCTTCCTATTAACCTCTGGTCTGAATGTTACAGTTGGAAGTCTCTGTTTTAACCGGTATTGCTACGATAGGTGAAAGCATCAGAAATCCAACGGCTGCCTTGGAAGCTCATCACACTCAGCAGAATTTCACTGTTTCCCACTGTTGGACAGGTCAACCCCAAAGACCTGGATCCAAAGTACGCCTACATCCAGGTGACGTACGTCACGCCGTTCTTCGAGGAGAAGGAGGCCGAGGACCGCAGGACGGACTTTGAGCTGCACCACAACATCAACCGCTTCGTCTTCGAGACGCCCTTCACGCTCTCGGGGAAGAAGCACGGGGGTGTGGAGGAGCAGTGCAAGAGGCGCACCATCCTCACCAGTACGTCTGCTGGGGCTGCTGCCCGGCCCGCCGCCCCACCGCCATCCGTGGTCTTCTCAGGGCCTCCGCTGGCAGAGCGGAGAGAGGAGCCCACCACAGAACAGGGGAGAGTCTTTTCACAAGGGTTTGTAGTGACAGGACGAGGGGTTAGGTTAGACGTTAGGAAAAAGTTCTTCAATATGGGGGTGCTAGATCACTGGAATGGGTTGCCCAGAGAGGTGGTGGAGGCCCTATCCCTGGAGGCATTCAAGGTCAGGCTTGATGAGGCTCTGAGCAGCTTGATCTAGTTGGAGATGTCCCTGCTTTAGGGCAGGGGGGTTGGACTACATGACCTTTGGGGGTCCATTCCAACCCAAACATTCTATGATTCTATAATTAGATGCAGATCTTTTGTTCAAAATGGGAGTACAATACGTTATATAGAATTTTTAGAAGTGAGATGTAAGATTTCCTCTCACTGGGCACGATCAGTGTTTTAAGACAATAATGTCAGGAGCACCAGATAGGTCTGTTCGTACTGAGTCATACTAAGCAGAAAATGTTTAGTTCCTTACCATGACTGAAATCTCTTTTTAAAGAGACTTCCTTTTTGAAGCTGCTACTGAAACATGTTTTGGCTGGGGGGTATATCTCCAATGGGACCCTTGATCTCCTGAGCAGAGGGGCTGATGGCCACAGCACAGCCTCCTCCTGAGTGACAGAAAATCCAGTTCCCTGCTGAGTTCAAGGCATCTGCTTCCCCCAAAGGGCAAAGTGATGGAAATTGCTCACAGTATAGGTGTAGTCATCTGGAAATTTTCTTCTGGCAAGTCAGGAGAGAGGCGCTGGTGTCTGAGGGCACCTGCTTACATGACACAGCTTTGCTGGTGAGAAGAAAGGAGGAGTAGCTCATGTGTGGGTTTTTTAAGTGCTTGAGCAGAGTGTTTCCCTAGGTTATTACATCCTGTCATGAGCTCCCATCACTCTCAGCTGGGCTACGTCTTCAGCATTAGGTGGGAACTTGAGGACCTTCTCTCCTCTGCTTTTCTTTCTGGCACCTGCCTCACCTCAGTGCTTTTCTCTAAAGGAAACGCTTATTCTTTTTTTCCTTTTTCATCTTCTTTTTCATCGTTGTCCTTTTCTGATTTTTTTTTCTAACAGTGAATAATTCCTCTGTCAGCTCCCAGAGCAGTGTTTAAGTTGAATAGTAAAAGTAACTCCTTACTTCTTTAAGGATGAGATTTGAATTGTAGTTCATCTGGTGAGGGGTCTAGAGCCCAAGTCTGGTGAGGAGCAGCTGAGGGACCTGGGGGTGTTGAGCCTGGAGCAAAGGAGGCTCAGGGGAGACCTTCTGGCTCTGACAACTCCCTGACAGGAGGTTGGACCCTGGTGGGGGTTGGGCTCTTCTCCCAAAAAAACAAGTGGTAGGACAAGAGTCTTAACAACAGCCTCAAGTTGTGCCAGGGGAGGTTTAGGTTGGACATGAGGAGCAATTGCTTCCCTGCCAGGGTTGTCCAGGCCTGTCCCAGGCTGCCCAGGGCAGTGGAGGAGTCCCCATCCCTGGAGGGGTTCCAAAGCCTTGGAGATGTGGTGCTGAGGGACAAGGTTTAGTGGTGACCTGGCAGCTGCTGGGTTAATGGTTGGACTCAATGAACTTAAAGGTCTTTTCCAACCTAGATTAATCTATGATTCTGTGATTCTGTTTGGTGGGATATTTTGAGTTGTTTCAAGTTCGGTATGGGCTTTTCACTTGGTGCTTTAACTCAGAAGAAGAAACTAATGGGTGCTAAGGTCTGAGCAGTGAGAGCATTTTGCTGCCACACAGATGTGACAGAGCTCAGTAGCAAAGAGGGGTGAATTCCAAAGGAGGTGCTCTTCCAGTGCCAAGTACATCAAAATTCAGTTTGGACTTGCTGTGTCACTTTGGCTCACTTGGTGATGAAAACTTTATACGAATTGGTAAAGAGGATGACAAAGTCCAAAGTTAATACCGTGACTTAATTGTTTCGCTTTCTTAAAAACTCTTGGTGGGTGAGTTTCTCTGATGGCTTTCTTGCTTTTGAGCAGCCAGTCACTTGTTTCCCTACGTGAAGAAGCGCATTCAAGTCATAAGCCAAACCAGCACAGAGCTGAACCCCATCGAAGTAGCCATTGATGAGATGTCCAAAAAGGTCTCAGAGCTCAATCAGCTTTGCACAATGGAGGAAGTGGACATGATCCGACTGCAGCTCAAACTCCAAGGAAGTGTCAGTGTCAAGGTAATGACAAGTGTCCTTTTTTCCTTTTTTTTTTTCAATACATCTACCTAAATTTTTATTTTTATTTCCATCATTCCAGACACATTTTGTCTCTATTTCTAGTCATATCTCATATTTCATTGCTGTTGGAGCCCTCTCTAAAAATGTAAGGGAATGGAAAGTCTTCCAGTGACGTTGATGACTTTTGGATTTACATGCAAATATAACTATTTCACTACAATCTTCTCTAAATAAACATGAAGACCTTCTAATAAAACCATCACATGTCACTTGAGAATGCAGCCTATCACACAGCCACGCCTGCAGATACTTTAAAGGGAGTTTTCTTGCAGTTTGTTTTGTCATTTCTTATTTAGAAAAGCTGGGGTTGGAGAGAGGTGTGTGTATTTCTGGTTAAAACATCTCCAGACGTACAGCTTTCTAGATGGCTAACTAGCTGAGGACTTTCACAGGCCAGGAGAGATTTGCAGTTTGTGCGGGGCTGACCAGCTCCCTTTTCTTCAGTAAAACTCCTCAGTTTTCATCCAGGTGACAGAAGGAGTCAGGTGATGTTCTTCACACAGGCTCAGTTGCCTGAGGCCAGTCCCAGGCCTTGGAACACAAGAGAAGATGACAATAAACTGCATGTCCCCTGCCCCTGAGCTGTGTATTTTTCCCCCAGGTCAATGCTGGACCAATGGCCTATGCTCGAGCTTTTCTTGAGGAGACAAATGCTAAGAGATATCCTGATAATCAAGTCAAACTTCTGAAGGAAATCTTCAGGTAAACATGAAGTTTAGACTTTCCACCCCCTATGTACCATGAGCAGGTGTGACATGGAATCTGTTCACCCCATCGGACAGGTCATTCCCAGGGAAACCCTGACTGAAGTTTGGGGCTGTCCCAGTAGCCTGCATTCCTCTTGATCTGAGGAGTTCTGGAATTCACTTCTCACACGGTGCAGTTGGCAAGGGGGGGAAGTTGTAGAGTGGTGTGTGTCTCTATACACAGATACATACTTTTTTTCATTACTACATTTGTCTCTTGCTCTTTGTGCTTTTGTAGGCAGTTTGCAGAAGCGTGTGGACACGCTCTTGATGTCAACGAGCGCCTCATCAAGGAGGACCAATTTGAGTATCAGGGAGAGATGAAGTCTCATTATAAGGACATGCTCAGCGAGCTCTCTACAGTTATGAATGAGCAGGTTAGATCACCCATTTTGGTACTGGTGGGGCTGAATCAGGGTGTCTGATTGTGTCTTCTACTGACAGAGGAAGCTGTAGAGCAAAAATACTAGAAGTAAAACCTGGCAGTGCAACAGTCACTGAGAAAATGCAGTTTGCTCCTGGGTTTTTTTCCCCTCTCTGCTTTTAAATCCAGCCCTATTATATATGATGAATTCCACTGATACACAGAGATTTTTCTTCTACCTGTCTTGCTACGTATTGAAGAGTGAAATGTTCTTGAGGCTAAATGCAGACTGGGGTCTAGAGGCATAGAAAGATGATCAGTTAAACTGGTGGTTTATGCTTTGCTTGCTTTATCCTGCAGCTGAGATATATTTAATTAAAACAGTAAATTCCTTTTAACAACTAGCTTGTAACTGGAGGAGGTATCTTTATAGCTTCCATTTGTATTCAGCTTTCAGAGCAAGAGTTATTTATTTGTTTGTTTTTATATTTAAGTACACTGTCAAAATACATGCCATGTATTTCAGCAGTCAGCAGCTTCAGAAGGATGAGCATGCCTGAAATGCATCCCAAAATATGGAATTGGACTTCAGGGCACGCTCACAGCTGTGTCTGTGCAGATATTTTTATTATGCTTTCTGTTTTAATTTCAGTACAGAACAGTTCTGCATACCACAGTGCAGATTAAATTGTGCTTCGTTATTTCTCTGCATGCTTGTGTGTAGGCATGTGAGAAACACACTCTGTAGCTGCTGCCCTGCGTGTCCAGGGGCCTGTGGCACACAGGAGAGCTGTTCATGTTCTGAGTGACTTGCTTTAACCCCTGGCATCAGTGATGGCATCTCACAGAAGTGTCTGACTGGTACCCCATTAGACCACACTCTGTACTCCCATCTTCACACATGAGAAAATTAAGGGTTTACCAGAAGTTTTGTTACACTTGCTGTGGAATTTAGGTGGTTTTTCACAAGCTGTGTAAGTGCTTTGAAGGCTCTGTGTATGCTGGAGGGGTTGAGCTCAGTGGTGGTCGATGTTGTGTGAGATAAAGCATGTGAAGATTTAGGTGTATAAAGATACCTTCCTCTTCAGATTTGTGAACTTCAAGCTTTCCAGTAATTTTATCATAACTAATATCAATCACTGTTTTTCATATTATGTGAGTACTAAGGGCATCATTTGTTATTCCATGTCCATGCCTCTCCTGTGGAAGTTATTTTGGCCATCCAGTCAGTGTGTGTAGGCTTTACCATATGTCTTGTGTGAACTCCTGTTCCCCACAAGAGTGGAAAACGTGTGGTCAACTTAAATAAGCCATGAGCAGCCCACAGGTTTCAGCATTTATGAACTATTTGGTGAGTTCTGTGGAGTACTCACACCTGCATTTATCACAGGGAGCTCTCACAGCAGATCTGTGACCTCCCTGCCCTGGGCAGAGTGGTGCCACAGGGAAACCCATGCTGCAAACTGGGGCTGAAATGCTCATCTCGTGGCTGGAAAGCTTGAGGCTCTCTTGTCACTGTGCAGAGAGTTGCCACCTTTCCCCTTGTCCTGTTCAAGAGGGGTTTGTTTGCTCACCCATTGACAGCAACTGTTTCATCACCATGGTTTTCTCTTTTCTGTTTTCTTCTGTTTTTCTTTTCTGACAGCTCTGTCACGGTCCTTGCTTATACAGCTTCTCTTCTTCCCTGTCTAACATTTCCCTCAATACTATAGCCAAAAGTGGTATGTTCATTTTTCTTACATCTACTTTTTTTTTTTTCTTTCAATGCCACGTACTTTCCTCACTTGCTGTTTTTTCTGCTTGGTACGTTTGTGTAGTTTCAGGTCTAATGACTCCCTTGCTCAGGGAGTGTCAAGAAAAAAGAAAGAAGGTGCACATGTCATCTATTGTTCTTGAGCTGTTTTGAGAGACATGTTCTTTAAGAACCTAGTCATGAACCTGGGGAGATCAGCAGGGCAGCTGGACAAGGGGCTCCTAGTGCAGATGCACGTGCCAGTAGTAGCAGAAATAATACATGTGGTGTGGTTGACCTGCAGCCCTGAGCAGGGGGTTGGTGGCACAAGGTTATGCCTGGAGCTTTGTGGAGGAGGAAAGGTTTCTCCTTCATCCATTGGTGGCTGCATGGTCAGTGGGAATGACCCACATCTCTGCTGTGGATGCTTCAGCATAGTGGCCCAGGTTTTCAGTCTGTATTTATAGAAATAAGGAGGAAGAATAACCTGTTGCCAAGACTAAAATGAACTTCAGAGGCAAGATCGTCCTTCTTGCCAAAGGCTCCGTGCAGGGCACAGCAGAGCAAGCTTTTGTCAGCTGCCCCATGTGTGAAGCTCCCTGGGGGTGCTGTGTGCCCCGAATGACTGTGTGGGCAGCACTGGCTCTGACCACGGCCCGTAGGTGCTGGGGTGGGTGTCTGCTGGGTCCATGAAATGTAGGTGACTCCTCAGCCGTGTGTTGTGGGTCGTTAGAGAAGCCTCGTTCAGGGGAGCCCGTGAAGCACTGCCTGGCAGAAGCTGCAGCCTCTGGTCACTTCTGGGTCCCCAGGCCAAGGTCCTTGTCCTCAGCCAGATCCTGAGCATCACTGTGTAGCAAGTCAAACACGAGGAACTGCTGGGTTAGGCAAGGAACTCACACCAATCTCTGTGGCTCTCTCTCACCCGTTGCTTTTTTTCTGTTCTTTTCTTGCTGGGAAGATTGCCTACAAGGAGGACTGGGCAAAGCAGCACGGGATGGAGCGCACCTACTCACGGGTCCTCAGCAGAGCCAGCTCGGCCGCGCCGGCG